TTTACTGTGTCCACACAGGGCAGAAGGGACAAGGCGTCTCTCTCAGGCCTCTTTTATATAGTCACTGATCTCATTGATGAGGGCTCTAGACCCATGACCCAATCACTTCCCCAATGTCCCATCTCCTAATATGTCACCTTAAATGTAAAGATTTCAACATATGGATTTGGGAGGGACATAAACATTCAAACCATAACAGGTATCTAGTTTGTCCTTACATAAATATATTGGCTCAGGTGCTAAAAATGCCAACATGACTTCTTAATTTAGCTTCTAAACATCAAGTACTGACCTTCTGAGTTCTCATCATTAAATATTTATCACAGGCCAGGCACTGTTCCCCATGCTTCAGCCATAGCTCATCGAACTATTTCTGCAGCTCCAGGAGGTGCATGCTGTCATGACCCCATGGCATACAAGAGGCAGACCCAGGACTCTTGCTGTGCCTGAGGTCTCCCACACAGTTCAGTAGAGAGGGGATAGTGGGTACTAGGCAGGAGTGGGCGAAAAAGAAATTGGGGTCAGTTTGCTGAGATGTTTGGTCCTGCAGAAGAGAAAAGATGAAGCTTTTGTACCTCTCCACCCCTGCCCAAGATAGGAGAGAAATCATTTTAGAGACAGAGATAAGAAAGGGGGTAATATTTAGGATGCTACAAGTGGAGACACTATCAGTTCTTCTAAAGTCAGGAAGGAATGGAATCAAGGGTATAGGCAGTAGAGAGAACCCCCTGTTCCTTTGCAAATCTGTATAAAGATAAAGAGAGATGCCAACACAGGTGGGTGCAAATGGCTCCAGTGCCCATATTTTCTGGGTTTGAGTAAACTCTTAATAAACATATGTTGTGCAGGTTAAGAACACTGGCTGTAGAATTAAACACTGGTTTATATTCCAGCTCATTGTGTGAACTTTGTCAAGTTATTTAACCTCATTGAGCCTTAGTTCCCTTGTCTGAAAATGGAAATAATAATCGTATAATAGTAGCTTATATGTCCATCAACAAATAGACAAATTGTGATATGTACATACAATGAAATGCTATTCAGCCATAAAAAGAAATGAAGTACTGGTACATGATACGACATAGAAGAACCTCAGAAACATTAGGCTGAGGCAGAGAAGCTGGACACAAAAGTCCAGAGTAGGTAAAAGTCCAGAGTAGGTAAATCCATAGAAACAGAAAGTGGGGGTGGAGGGAAATGGGGATCAACTGTTCAGTGGGTGTGGGGTTTCCTTTTGGGGGTAATGAAAATATTCCGGAACTAGATAGTGGGCATGGTTGTACAACATTGTGAATGTATTAAATGTCACTGAATTTTTCACTTTAAAATGGTTAATTTTATGTTATGTGAATTTTACCTCATTTAAAAAATACTTCTAAAAGCAATAGCTCATAGAACTGTTCTGAGGACTCAGTGAGAAAAATCCTTGGGAAACAGCATGCCCAGGTGTGATAAGCACCCAATAAGGGAGTCAACAAAAAATTATCTATTGATGATGTTGCCCTTTATATGATCCTTTCAGCTGTTTTTCCCCTACCAGTGTCAACCTAGTATCTTTAGGGGGCAAATAGAAAAAAACTAGGATGGAGGGGAATTCTCAAAGTTCATTGTTTTTTAAAGGATTCAAGGAAAAACTTCTTTTTATTTCGTCTTGTTCACCACTATCACCACCAGCATAGGCATGGTCTCTGGCACAAAATAGAAGTTCAGTAAATATCTGTCTAATGGATGAATAGTTCCCAATTTGGAATCACACATTGTAGCTCTGTTCATTCAATATCCAGCTAAAAAGGTCACCTGGAGAAGTCTGCTTCCCTGGAGGAAAGCATGAACCTACAGACGTGGATGACGTAGCCACGGCTCTCCGGGAGGCCCAGGAGGAAGTGGGGCTGCGTCCTCATCAAGTGGAGGTCATCTGCCGCCTGGTGCCATGTCTGTTTGACGTAAGGGTTTTCTCAGCCTCTCGTGAATCCCCGGTGGATCTGCTGTGCTCGGGATTCCACGTTTGTCTAAACATGACCCCAAAACTACCACACATAAAGTCAAGCGACTGAGTTCTTGTGTGGACGTTGCTCCTCGTGAGCTAAGTTGCTGTGGGCATGCCCCTTTGCCTACCTGGGCCCTCTGTCCCCATCCAAAAATAAAAGGGCTGAACTCCATCGATGGGTTTCAGACCGGCTGCCATGGAACCCTGAGGGTGCTTCAGAATTATTTCAGTAACATTCATTTCACATTTACTTTTCTCCAGTATACACGGATCTTGAGAGTTCAGTTGAAAAAATAATACACACTCCAGTGTGCTATATACCAACTTTTAGCCCTTTGGAGGCCACCAACGCAGTACTTTTGCCATAAAGATACTCATTTTTGTACATACCATGAAATAAAGCTTCCTCTATAACACATGAATTAAGCAGTCCGCTGAGATCACTAGGCAAGCTGTTTAAAAACTGTTACTATTTATAACTGTATTTCTGTTGAATCAGGATTTCCTTGCTAGTGTACACCAAAACATATTTAAAAATATTTTAAAAAATGAATTCTGGAGCTGATATAACCACATCTTATTTCCTGCCAGTTCACCACAACAACCTCATTGTTGTACTAATTGACTTTAGAAGGAGTAAATATTGCAAATTTGAACTCGGATAGTGGCAGTATTTTATCAGCATAAACATTTTGCCTTTAAATGTTTATGAAATTAAAATCTTATTTTCAATTTTAGAATAGTTATAGATTTACAGAAAAGTTGCAGAGATGGTACAGAGTTTTCATACACCCCATACCCAGTTTCCCCTATGGTTAACATACTTCACTGTGGTATTTTTGTCACAACTAAAAAAAACCAATGTTAGTATATTACTATTAACTAAATTCTGTGTTTTATTTGCCTTTTACTCATTTTTCTACTAATGTCCTCCCTCCCTCATCCAAGATATCAGGCTGTATTTGGTTGTCATGTCTCCTTAGTCCTCTGGTCTGTGGCAGTTTCTCAGACTTTTCTTATTCTCTTGACCCTGACAGCTTTGAGGTTCAGTGGTCAGGTATTATATAGAATGTCCCTTTGAGGTGTAGTGGTCAGGTATTATATAGAATGTCCCTCAGTTTGACTTTGTCTGATACGTTTCTCATTGTCAAACTGGGGTCACAGTTTAGGATAACACCACGGGGTGAAGTGCCCTCATCACATCGTATCAGAGACAGGCATCAACTTTCTATCTTTTATACATTGGGCTTTCAGGTACATTTTTATTTCAAAAGAACAGCTTCACTGATGCCTGACAATTAGAAACCAGTAGATTAGGTCATCCTTAATGTTCATTTAGCTTAAAGTCTTGGTGGTACAGTGTTATGAAGATCAGTGATGCTGTGACATCTGTCTTACTTAGGTCCATTTTAAAAATAGATCAGCGCTCAGGGAGATTTAGTGTGGAAGAAGCTATTAGCTACTCAATAAATGTTTGCAAAGTTTATGCGTATGAGAGAGAAGCGGAGGAGAGAAAGGATTACACAAGAAATGTGTCAATTATTTCCTCTTCCATTTTGTTTTCTAATGGGAACTCTTTTCCTTTGATTTCTGCAAATCCACCAGCACATTTGGAGGATTTATTTTAGAACTCTATGAAGAAATTGAGCTATCCTGGTTACAACTTTGCAAAGTGAGACTAACTCCATTTCCAAGGTCCCCAGGAGCTACTGAATTCTGCAGGTGCATGGATAGAATACAACAGCATTCACAGGAAAGCGTTGGGTCTTCTGGAGATTTCTGGGGGCCTGACACTCCTAGAACAGATTTCTTAAATGACATTATTGTGAAATTAGAATGAACAAAGGCTTTACAGAAAAGTGTGCTGTGTTTGGAAGTGCTAGGGAGGATTGTTTTGTTTTATTGGCCCTTGTGTATTTTTTAAATGAATTATGAAAATGCCATTTATTGAACACGTATATGAATAATCTAATCTAAGTGGTTCTTAACCTGCTGTGATTTTGCCCCCCAGGGTATATTTGACAATGTCTGGAGATGTTTTGGGGTGTCACAGCTGGGGGGGATGCTACTGGCTCTTCCTCCACCCCTTACATTAACCCTCCCAGGTAGGCTGTGACCTACCTGGGAGCCGGAAGTGCCTGGGAATTTACTTCTGGCAAGGCAGTCGTTAACCAGTGACTGACTGATGCCAGGGAGCATGGAAGTCTGGCTCCTTTGTCTCCACCTGAGATTGCCAAATTGCCATTCCAAAAGATTGTGCTAGTTTACATTCACAGAGGATATCATTTTCAGAGTCATCTCATAGATGCCCGCTCAGGTAGGGCAAGTACTACCCCCATTTAATGGAGGACATAAAGTTACTTCCAAAGCAAGTTTTTCCCTCTTCCCTTAACCACCTTCTGTAATTGATGGCTTTGGCATCTTGTCTTAGCTTACGTGGAAGTGGCATGATTTTAGCATTTGAAATAATATGGCTTCACTTCTTAATTTCTGTATTTTGTTTTCTGCTTTTAGAAATATACATTGGTAACCCCAGTTGTGGGTTTTATAAACCACAACTTCAAGGCCCAGCCTAACCCTGATGAAGTGAAGCGTGTATTCCTGGTGCCACTGGACTATTTCCTGCATCCACGTGTCTACCGCCAAAATCGCTTCACGTTTTCCGGTCACAGTTTGATTGCTCATTTCTTTGAGTACATGAACCCTGAAGATGGTGTGACTTACCAAATCAAAGGGATGACTGCAAGGCTTGCTGTATTGGTTGCCTTAATTATTTTGGAGAAAAAACCCACCTTTGAGGTTGAATATAATCTCAATGATCTAATATCATCCTCTAAAGAGTTCTTCCTGAAGTTTCTTAAACATAATACAAGCAAGTTATGATTTATGAAACCAAGATCCAAAGAACTATCCAAGAGGTTTTTGTGTGTGCTTATTTATCGAATGACAGTAATGTCAGCTGTTGGAATTGGACAGTGTGAATATTTTTCCTGCAATATGAAGATAAAAACCTCGCCTTTTTTCCAGTTGCCTTCTAATGTCTGAAAGAGCAAAAATCTTTCAAAAGTGGAAAAATATGTTTATAGTGTTGCATAATATCAACCAAAATATGTTAACAATATTTTTCTTCTCAGTGGAAATCAACCAGGGGGGATGGAGGAGAAGGGGAGGGGCAAAAACCTACCTAATGAACCTAAAAATGATCATGATTTGGGTGATGGGCACAGCTATAAACGTTTGTACCCCCTTAATATTTTGAAAGTTAAAGAAATTTAAAAAATATTTTTTGTATACATAAGAGAGTATATGGCACGTAGTAGGCACTTAATAAATATTTGTCGTATATATGATTGACCATGCAGCATTTATCTTATTTGTAAGAGGCAATATATTTTTCTAACTGTTGTTACGTGTAACAGAAAGTTCTAGTCTTCCCTGTCTTCTGTGGCAGTAGAGTTCAAGCTAGGTCCATGGCTCCCCAGGTGGAAACAGCATTATCCAAGATCCTCTGCCATGCAATTTGACTCTGGGACTTAGTTTAGGCCAATGGGGCATGGGTACAAGTTGACTTTGCAGGTCATCTCCAACTGAAGAGATAAGCCAGTTTCCCTCGAGTCCCTCTGGTTCCCCTCTCCATGAGCTGCAACATGGACTTGTCTGCAACCCAGCCCTGACCATAAAAATAAGGACAATTCCTGGGAGGATGGCAGAACCAAAAGATGGAAAAGCTTGGATCTCTGAATGACGCTGGAGCAATGTAACCCTCCTGCCTGGGCTGTTCACTTTGGGACTGTTACATCAGAGAAGCATAAAATTCTGTCATCTCTCTGCCACTGTAATTCAGGGTCACTTTTCTGTAGCAGAGCTGCAACTCTAACTAATATAACACTTGAACGTGGCTAGAAGAATATTCACCCGAACTTGAGGTGTTGCAAGCAGTTAGAATTCAGGACGATCTGACACTTTACATGTGGGTTCTCTGACATACACAGGATGCCCTTGGATGGGGGGGTGGGTTTGGCAGTCACCATCCATAGCAGCTGAAGTTAAGGAATATGAGAGGCTCATGTGCCTACCAACTGGGAGGGATAATGATGTGTGTCTCAAGATGATGAGGCCGGAAAAACAGAGATTGCAAGCACAAGCCCCAAATCAAATGTCAAAAAGACATTCTGAATTGTATGCCTTGAGATCTACCACGTCTTATGTGGGTGTCTCTCTATATCATGCTTGAGAGTTAGCAGGAGTTGCTTTGTTTAATTATGGTATTAATCATTCTGCACAAGGTCAGGGAGGCCGGCGAGTAAAGCAACGTAACCACATTTCCGTGATGGCAATTTCACATCTTACTGAGTGATTTTAGATTTTTAGAAAGCCAAATCATTTTTTAAAGAAGACTTCGTTAGGGCTGAAAACGTGATGCCCACACTAAACCCATCAATCAGCCATGCAACCATCCACTGCTGCCGAGTTTTTCTTTTCTGAGGGTTGGGAAAGGCAAATACCCAATCCACTACTTTATACCCATAAATGTTTTTAAACGGTACAAATCTGGCTCCAACCATGAAAGCAGATGTTGGGGAAGCTTTCCCATTAACATTCTGTAACCAGCCCTGCGTGAACAGGCCTGAACCGTTTCTGAACAATTATAAAAGCATTTGCAAATGTGTATTTACAATCCGACAGCAGTATAATTGCCGGGTAAATGGTTGACCTCTCTGGCAGTGCAGAAAGCCACCCTTCAGAACTGTTTGTTTATGTGAACTACACAGACCTGCCTGGCCCAGTGGAAGTCTGCAAACTGATTGACACTCACGGCCACCCACTTTAGGGGGCTGGGGGCTGGGTGCTGGGTGGAGATATCGCCCCCTCCTTTCTTCTCAGTGGTGTATTTTATGATATCCATGTTTGGAGTTCTAGTTAAGCATCAAATCTGGCTCAAATCAAAGAAGTTATTGGCAAGGTACAGATCTCGGAATCTACAAAACCACCAAAAAAGTCAACCTCAAGAAGAGTAATGGGAGCCGACCCAGCTGACTACCTCAAAACCAGGAGGACATGAACCTTCTCTTTTGCATCTTGCCATTATTGTGATGAGAAACATCTGTTGGAATTGATAAATTCAGACATGGAAAAACAACAGACACTCCATGACTCAGTCCCGAGTTCCTTGGAGAAATCTCATTTGGTCTAACGTGGGTCACCTAGCAGGTTTTCAGTAACCTGCAAATGTGTTCAAAGGCAGGAATCGGTGCAGGCTAGACAGACATCTCTAACATTTACTCTCTCCCATCCCTAGATTCTATAAATTCTGTGGACTCTGCCATCCACACAGCTCAACTCTGTCTTCTTTACAACCCTACAATCTTGGTGGGAAAAAAAAAAAAAGTAGTTGAGAGCCCTGAGTCTGAAATCAAGATGCTTAGGTTTGAACCTCAGCTCCAGCATCAACCTAATCTGTGACCTTGAGCAAGTGACTCCTGTGTAGACATCAGTTTCCTCTTCTGTAATGTGGGAGAAATGAACTTTCTGTTTTAGGGCTGTCAGAGATTAAATGAATTAACACATGCGACCCCTTTCTTAAAGCACACCAAAGTGCTCAGAACAGTGTCTGGGAAATAGTAAATGTTCAATTACCTGTTAGCTATTCATTACGGTATGATTATAACTATAATATTATATCATCATCATCATGATAAACATTGTTATTTCTCTACTTTGGAGCTTCATCAGTTTTCCATACCAGAGGCTCCAGAACTTCCTTGGTTCACAGAGCCCTTGACGTCTAAGTCAAAAGAAGCACCTAACAATTTTGTTTATTATGTAGTTAGGTCCAAACAACTTAAGAAGTGTTTGTGTCCTGCTAATTTGGTAGCTATTTGAAAATATAGTGCACATACGTTAAAAGAAAAATCCTATTTTTGTTTCAACCTTAAATACCCACAATTGCTCACTAATGGGATGTGTGCGCTTATCGATCACACAAGCAAGTAGAAGATTCAAATACAGTCATATGATAAGGAGGAGGGACACCTAACTCAGATTTGGAACTCAGGGAAACCATCCCGGAGGAGGAAGTATGGACTGAGCTGAGCCTAGTAGATGAGGAGATGCTACCCAGGTGAGTGGGATAGTGGGCAGATAATGATGGGAACTAACATTTCTTAAGCACCTATTATATACCTGGTCCTTCACTTTGATTATTTT